AAAGCGCGAACGCAGTCCCCCACTACCACAAATTATGCAGTCGAGTTTCCCACATTTGGGGAAATCGCAGGGGTCAGCACATCCCGAGTGCAATGGATAAGCCTCGCCCTGGGAAAACCACCTTCTTGATCATGGTATCTCCCCTGCCAGGTAAGTATTCCTCACCACTTTTAATGTGTCTTCAGGCTTATCATGTCATGACTACAAGATGGATTCCACAACTCTAGGCATTGGATTCTCACAATCTGAATCAGAGTATAGAAAGTAATGTTTTTAAGCATGTCTTCTTTCTTCAGGGAGAAAAATAGTTCTTACACAACTCCCAATAAGATGTTCATATATTTTGTCAGCCAGGTAGTAATTACATTGATAAACCTTGTGAAAATTATTCTACACGGAGAGAAAAGTAATGATCATAATACAGTTTAGATTAAGCACAAAGTAACATTGGGGTCAGGCAGGGACCATCTTCCATGAGAAGCTGAACATTAGAGGAAAAGTCTCAGACTCTGTAAGAAGAGAGGACTGAGAACATGACTGCAATAAAGGCAAAAACCAGATTCCTCCACGGAGCTTTGATCCAAACAGCTATAATGATTATAGTAGTTGCCATCACATCCAGAAACGTGTGTATTCATTATAAACCATCTTCTCATTTATACATACCTTTCCTACCTGCAAATTTTAGTAATAACATTATATGTTCTTTAATTGGAATACCATAATCTCTTCCATGCTGTTGTTAACCACATATTACTTTCCAATATTTCTAATAAAAATACATTTATAAATAACATAACATCTTTTTTTTAATGTTTATTTATTTTTGACAGAGACAGAGCATGAGTGGGGGAGGGGCAGAGAGAGAGGGAGACACAGAATCTGAAACAGGCTTCAGGCTCTGAGCTGTCAGCACAGAGCCCAACGCGGGGCTCCAACTCACAGATCGCAAGATCATGACCTGAGCCGAAGGCAGACGCTCAACTGACTGAGCCACCAAGGCGCCCCAACATAACACCTTTTTATGAAAATATCTTTATACATTTTTTTCACATTTGAAAAAAAAAGATGTAAAATTTGTATGGAACTGTAAAAATCCCTGAACAGCCACAGCAATCTTGAGAAAGATAAACAAAGTTGGGGGTATAACACTTCCGATTTTAAGCTACATTACAAAGCTACAGTAATCAAAACAGTATGAAGTTGGCATAATAGGAAACACATGGATCAATGGAACAGAGTGGAGAGCCCATAAATAAACCCATGTATACATGGTCAGTTCGTTCATGAGAAAGCAGCTAAGAATATACAGTGGGGACAGTACAATCCCTTCGATAAATGGTGCTTGGGCAACTGAACAATCACATGCAAAAGCGTGAAAGCAATTGGTTAAAACCAATTGATCATGAATAAAAAATTTTAAATGTAAGGCCGTAGAACTTTACAAGAAAACATAGGTAGCAAGCTCCTTGTAATTGGTCTTTGTAGTGATTGTTTTGGATAGGACTCCAAAAGCAAAGACAGCAAATACAAACTTAGAGAAAAGGGACTACATCAAGCCAAAAAGCTTCTTCACAGCAAAGGAAACCATCAGCAAAATGAAAAAGCAACCTACTGAATGGGAGAAAATATTTGCAAATGATCAACCTGATTAGGAGTTAATATACAAAATATATAGTGAACTCTCAACAGAAAATAAAAACAAAAGTTCAATTAAAAATGGACAGAGGATCTGGATAAGACTTTTTTTCCCCAAAGAAGACATACAGATGGCCAACAGGCACACGAAAAGATGTCAACATCACTAATTATCAGGGAAATGCAAATCAAAAACACAATTTGTTATCACCTTACACCTGTCAAAATGGCTAGTAACAAAAACACAAGAAATAACAAGCATTAGTGACTATGTGCAGAAAAGAGAACTTCACACACTGTTGGTGGGGATGTAAATTGGTGCAGCCACTGTTGAAAACAGTGTGGAAGTTCCTCAAAAAAATTGAAAATAGAACTACCATGCGATCTTGTAATTTCACTTCTGGGTATTTTTCCTAAAAAAATGAAAACACTAACAAAAAATATATGCACCCTCATGTTCATCGAAGCCTTTTATAAAAACTAAGATAGGGAAGCAACCTAGGCATCCATCAATGGATGGTTGGGTAAAGAAAATTTGGTATACACACAGACACACACAGAGGAATATAATTTACCTATAAAAAAGAATATCTTGCCATTTGCAACAACATGGATAAACCTTAATGGTGTTATGCTAAGTGAAACAATCACACAGACAAAGACAAATACCATTTGATCTCATTTATTCGTGGAATCTAAAAACATACCCAACGAACCAAATAAAAAACAAACTGATCTAATAGATACAGAGAACTGATTTGTGGTTACCAGAAGCAGAGGTGAGGGGAAATGAGAAGAAGGGTTAAAACGTATAAATTATCAACTATACAATAAGTCATGGGGGTGTATGTACAGCATGGGGGCTATAGATAATACTGTATCACATATTTGAAAGTTGCTAAAAGAATAGATCTTAAAATCTTTTAAGATCCATCATAAGACAAAAATTGGTAATGATGTGTAGTGATGGATGTTAACTAGATGTATATTATGGTGATTATTTCACAATAACACAAATATGGAATCATGTTGTATACCTGAAACTAATATAATGTTATATGACAATTACAGCTAAATAATAAAAAGTAAGCAAAACAATGGACTCTTGCAACCCACATGTAAGGGATTAAACCAGGGAATGAACACCAGGGGGTAGGGATCCTTGGGGCCATATCAGAGGCTGCCTACCAGGGAGCCTATCACACCATGTCAGTATATATAAATCTATCTCTTTATCATTAAAACTATGTAGCATTCTTTTTTTTTAAGTTTATTCATGTATTTGAGAGAGATAGAGACAGCACAAGTTGGGGAGCGACAGAGAGGGAGAAAGAGAGAATCCCAACAAGCTCCACGCTGCCAACGCAGAGCCCAATGCGGGACTTGAACTCATGAAACTGAGATCATGACCTGACCTGACATCAAAAGTAGGATGCTTAACTGCCTGAGCCACCCCACTGCCCCCAAACTATAGAGCGTTCTAATATAGAAATGAAATAATTTCCTATTTGAACAATTTCCTATTACTGTATTTTAGGATATTTATAATCTTCGACTAATTTTTTAATAAAATTTCTTGATCACATACATTTTCACATATATTCAATTATTTCTGGAGGATCAGTTTTTAGAAGTGAAATTGCTAGGTCAAAGAATCTGCACAAGTTAATTATTCATATATACTGCCAAATTGCCTTCCGAAAACATTGTTACCAATTTACCTGTCAACAATTTCTCAGTAATACTTTAAATAGTAAACATTAAAAGATTTGAATATTTCTCTTTTCCATACATAAGAACTATTGGAGCGGTCCCACCTTCTTTTCATGGCCTTCTCCCCAGCGTTCCTTCCCCAACTCCCCCAGTCCGGTATTCGATGATCTGGAGCTGTGATCTCTATAACTGTATATTCCACTTAATACCCCCACTTGTGCACCTTTTATTCTCCATCAGAGAGATG